GGGGGGTTTTCCGCCTTCGCGGCCGCCGCCGGTGCGTCGTGGTGGGTGGCGGCTGCCGGAGAGGAGCAGGGGTGCGGGGCGGCGCCGCCGGGGGGGGGTTTCTGGTCCGTGGAGTGCACCTCCAGCAAGCAGAAACTCTCGCGTTGCTCTCACAGTGGGGAAGTTTCAGCTCTGTTTAATCGAAAGGCTGAGATGAAATCAATTTTATGTGGAGTGGGAGCCCACTGGTTAGGGGGAGAATGCATTTCAGCAGGTAAACATAACGCCTCAGAAAATGATGGTCATCTAAACCTGGTACTCCCAGCAGCCTGATATTTGACACTGATGCTCCCCAAAACGCCCACTGTTCTCTTTGGGGGACACCTGGCAGTGTCTCCATTTGAGGGGTGAGCCTGAGGCTAAGCCTGGCCATGCTTGCTTGTGTCAGCCAAGGCTGGGTTGGCCTCTGTGGGAGTGACCCTTCTGCCTGCATGACAGAAAAAATAGAATAAAACAGAAACCAGCTCTGACTTCAGAGGTTTCCTTCGACAGCAGCTGCTCAGAAGGCCATTCACAAAACTAAAACAAAATTACATTCCCTTTCATGGATGACTGGCCTCTTGACACTACAGAGTGTTTTTGAGGAAGAAAGGGAAAATACCACAACAGTTTGGGAACATAAACACCCAGCAGCTATTGAAAATTTGTTACTCTGCCAAATACTCCAGCGGCAGCCGTGAGCCAGCTTTCCTCCCATGGCAGTGAGTTGCCGCCTCCCATGGCAGTGAGTTGCCGCCTTCGCCTGCATCCCACTCACAGTGCGTTATCCTGGCTGAGAAGAATCCAGCTACCGGCTAGTCCAGCTGCAGACCTTACAGCCTCAAAACACACTCAGTTCCCAGGAGCTCAACTGCCTGTCCTGGGCAATAGCAGCACGGCACTAGTGCTGGATGGGGAGGCTCTCCCTGCAGGTTTATCCCTCAGCTGGTTCTCTTCCACTGCGCTTGGCCCACACACTCACTGCTGAGGAGCTGTGTTGGGCTATTCACCACCACTTGGAGCTACCTCAGCTCTGCTCTTAACAGTGCCTGTAGCAGTTTAGAAAAAAAAAAAATAATTGGCAACCATGGAGAGTGTAACCAGAGGACCTTTCAAAATCAACACTGAAGATGTTCCAACACTGAGTGTTTTTTTTCCTTCCTTCTAGGAGTTACTGTTAGCTCCTTTACCTCATCACTGCAGGCTGCGGCATGAGCTAGAATGGCACTGCACCTTGGGCTGAGCAGTGCTGTCTCATTCAGTTCTTACAACATCAGAATAATACCGATCCATTC